TATATATATATATATATATATATATATATGATAATTTTATTAACTTAAGATACATAAAATATCGGTAGGTTGATTAAAAAGTCGCAGTTAAATTATTAAAAAAAAGGGTATTGCAATTTCGACGAAATAATGTTAATTTATGGGTACTATCATGGGTTTAATGTTTTAAATTCATGCAAGATTTATAAATAGAAAAAAAGTATTGTCTCTTTGAATTTTTATTAGAAAATTTCTCTTAAACTTTTCTTTCAATTTCTGTGAATTATAAATTATATTTTTATTGATAATTTGTTTAATAGATAATAAAATAATTTACTCACCGAAAAATTCCGTTGTCCTTACGTCATAGATTTGACCGTTCTGTTCTTGATTCGATTGTACGGTTGCTTCACATCTTGAAAATAGAAAAAACAGCAAAAAAAAAAGTGAATAAATGTTAAGAGAAACTTAACGTAAAAGAAAATGTAAACGTAAACATAATGAAACAAAGGGGAAGATAATATTAAAGGATGAAGTAAAATGCGTCATTTATGAGTTAGAAACTTTACCTGACGTTTATCTTCTCACTAGAGAGATGATCAGGTTCGAGTTTCAGTCGGAGACTCGATATCATCGAGATCATACCGTGCTGTTCTAGTTTCCCTTCCAAATCAGCTTTCACCTAAAGAGAAGAACAAAACGCGATGACATGAATTTAGGTAAAATGAATTTTCAACATTTGACGTTTAACTACCAGGATGTAAACGAGAATTACAATATTTAAATAAATAATTTAAAGCTTTTATATATGGTAGTAAAACGCCACGAACCCACTCATCGTTATAAAAGCGCGATGATGTCCGTATATGGAAAATTTTCATTTTCCGAGCCAACTCAATGAATCCTATCATCATGGAATGTTGCGAAAATACGAACAGCTGCATATAACGACATGATACGAATATGTGTGTGTGTATGATTCTATGAATAAAAGAGAGAATATATAGAAAGAGAGAGAGAGAGAGTGAGAGAGATAGGATGTAATGTTGTTAGCAATCAAATGTGAAAATGAACGAGAAATTTAGGATTTACGATAAACGGTGACGCTTTTAAAACGAGTAAACAGTCAAAACCAAAATAATATAATAATTTAAGTTTGTTGATAAGTAATCACGGTGATAAATACGCTTGATACATAGATAAAACATATAATTGGATTAATAAAGATGTTCGACTTATCGACAGGATTACTTGGGATACTTGCGAAAGATTTAACTTTTAAAAGATACGTAATATTATATCTATGTACAAATGTGGAACATCAGGAAGGGATGGTAGAAATGAGGAATACTCTTTGAAGGTATTTAATGAGCGAAAAGATTGTAGGTCTCTTTGAGGATTTAGAGAGGAATAATTAGAAGTGGATGATTATGATCATAAGGTCGTTTGAAATCAGTAATTACTAGCAAATGAAGAAAATAAAGAACATGAAAATACATAGAAAATATCTATCCTTTCTTATTGTTAAAAAGTGTTAATTAAATTCAAGAAAAACCAAATAAAAAAAAAAAATAAATAATAAAAGAAATGTAAGAAATGGTCAGTTGGAAAATATTAATTACTTTTATTACAAATGAATTTTTAATTAATCGCGATTTTATTGGTATTAGGTCTAGTTTATGTATTAGAAAAAAATATATATAATGTATATCTTAGTAGTACATAGAAGATCGAGTTGCTAAAGAAGTCCTAGTAAAAGGATGAAACGTTCAAAAGGATCAAAACAATATGTTCTGATTTTTTTTACCTGTCCAACTTCCCTATGATACAAAGTTTGTGAATATTTTATTTTGCGAACGCGAAAAACAATTAATTGATTAATTACTTTTTTCTTTTTTATATTTCTCTCTCTCTCTCTCTATCTGTCTCTGTCTCGGTTTTTTCGAATTCCCCTAATTACAGTTCCCATCAGAATCCATTTTCTTATTCAGATTATTCTTGATCTTCGTCAGGCCATTACCACTTTTCGAAGCTTTTCTGACGATCGGACCGAGCATTCTAAATTTGAACCGTTCGATTTTTCAAACATCTTCATAATGCTTATTTTCTTTTTCCTTTCTTTTTTGCATTCGCGCCAGTTTAAATTTTATCATCATCCCACGGTAAGAGAGCAGCAGCAGAAGCAGAAGCAGCAAAGAAAAAGGCCGGATACGCGAGTCTCTTCGAGCGCATAAATTTTCCAGTAACGATTGCTTCCGAAGAAAAACAGCTCGGGTAAAGCGTTTTATAAAGGTTCCACCCCCTCCCTCTCCTGCCCCCCAGCCCCCATTTTCCTTTCTTTTTCTATTTCTTTCCTTTTCCAATCTTCATTTTTATGTCTCTATTCCTCTTTCTCATTCTTTTTCTCGTTCTTTCTCTCTGGTAGCATCGTAAAAATTAATTGAGGTGGAACGAGATTAGTACTGTCGAAGAAAAGAAATGGTTCCTCTCGCGAAATACATGTCAGTAACAACAATGAAAAAAAAAAAAAAAAAAAATAAAAAGTACCTGGTCTCTTTAAAAGAAACTGTTTTTCCTTTTTTCTTTTTTTTTTTTTGGTTTTATTTCCAATGTTGAACGTACATATTAACAACAAAGGGAAATGAATTATTCAGTAAACATGATCGATAAAAATGTTTCCAGTTCGTGTAGGAAAAAATTTTCCAAGCAGAAAAATAAAAAGAAAGGGTGAGAGTAATAACGAGGAAAACAAAAAGAAATAAACAAATAAGAAGAACAGAGAGAGAGAGAGAGAGAGAGAGAGAGAGAGAGAGAGAGAGAGAGAAAGAGAGAAGAACAACCCTATTTCCCTCGGATCTTATTTTCTTTTTTTTCTTTTCTTTTATTTTCTTTACCGTTCAATAAACGCAAAAGAGATCTATATAATAATCTTTTCGTCGTCGTTAAAGATTCACGTATTCCTAATGGATTTCCACTTGGTCGTTAAAAGTAAGCTAATCGATTCGACTTCATTTTTTATTTATCAATCCTATATTTGAAAGACAATGTTTTAAACGAGAAACATCTTAACCTCCTTTTTTTTCTTTTCTTTCTTTTCGTTGGCGTATTTCTATCATCTCGTTCGAATGTATAAAAAAAGAAGATTCGTTAATCAAAGTATTTTTTTTTTTTTTGTATCATTTAAAAGAGTATAAAATCGCGAAGCATATACTTCCGATGGTAGATTCTATTTTGATCTATGTATCAAAGTTGAAATAATAGAAAAGAATGAGAGAAAGATTGACCCTATGAGAAAGATGGACGATTACGAAGACGTGGATTGTCCTTTTGCAACGAGGTAACAATTAAAAGAAGGGCTCTCGTGCGTCACCGCCATCACGGGTTTTCCTCGAGACTCTCCAAAAGCAAATTAATCTCTTTCTCTTTCTTTCTCTCTCTCTTTCTTTTCTTTCCCTTTCTCTCATATTTCCTCGGATTAATTAGAGGATTTCCCTTTCACCTTCAGGAAATTGCCTCCTTCCATCATCTCAAACGCTACTTTTATTCTTCGAATCTGCGAATATCTTATCTCTCTTTCTCTTTCTATTTCTGTTTCTTTTTCTTTCTTTCTTTCTTTCATTCATGTTGCACGAACCAACCGAGAATGGAAAAAGAAAAGCTTAAGTGAATTGTTCTAGAAATGATGATTTTAAACTGTGCTATTTATTGTTCTATTTTTTGTTTTGTTTTGTTTAAGTCTTTCTCTTCTTTTTTTTATTTTTGGTTTGAAAAAAATTTATTTCAACTTGTGTTCTTCTCTTCTCGTATTTGTCGCTCCTACTTTTTCTTTTTTCATGTCGTATCTTTTTTTTTAGTCATGTTACAAAGAGAAACGTTTAATAACGATCTATTAAAGTCGATTAAATAAATAAATTATAATTTGAATGTGAATGCGCTTTTTTTCTTTCGTGTAATATTTTTGGAACAACGACACTCGGTGCTTCAAATAAAATCGAAGTAATAAAATATCCAAATTTATTCCCGTAAAGTTTGACAATCAAAAATATTATAAGCTTAAACGGGATTGAATTATTGACTTTAATTTTTATGCAAAAAAATTCTGAACGATGTCTTTTCTTGGAATATAATTTTAGAAAAAGAATAAAACGAATTTTTGGTTTCTTTTCTTTTTAATCTTACAGTTTATTTTCTATCTTCGAGTTACTTACTCGTAAATATCTGAAGAATAATTTTGTAAACGAACGACTTGTTCTCGTTCACAACTTTCACTTTCATTTCTTTCTCTTTTTTTTTTTTTTTTATTTTGTTTTCTTTTTTATTTATTTTTTTTTCCCCATTTTTTCCACGTTGGTTCTATTTTATTTGTACTAAACGAAACAAAATATTCGCTTTATAACTACCTTGTCTGAACTGATCCGCACCTTGTCTCGTTAAATGATTGGTTTATATAAGCTTTGGTAAAAGTGGTCGACTTGTTCGCGGTTTTTAATCGACTTTCTATGACAAATGATTTTCCAAATGCTACAGAAAGGTCAATTGAGAAAATAATTATCTTTTTCTATGAAATATTTAATCTACGAGATAAACAAAAACACAGAGATATAAAGAGAAAAAGAAAATTACAAAATACACGAAGTGTGATAATATGTTGTATAGTAACAAAAGTACAAACTATACATCAATTGCAATAAATTTTCATTTAACGAGAGAGATATATTTGAAATGTTAAACAATGGAATCAGGACAATAAAAGTTCTACCTAAACGAAGTTTACACGAATAGAGAGAGAGAGAGAGAGAGAGAGAGAGAGAAAGAGAGAGAGAGAGGAAAAAAATGTTCTACTTCTTTCATTTTCCGTTTTCGGTGTTTTCCCATGTGAATGAGAGAAAATCTACGTAGACGAAGTTCATTCGTTTGAAAATTTAAGTCACATTATTAAAAATTGACGAAGAGAAGAGAAGGAAAATCTTCTTCAAGGATTTTTATTTTTATCGATTGATTTTTGATGGATGCAGTATATCCTTTTCCCCGAATTCGTAATATTCGCTATGCATGTATAATAAATAGAAACCTATTGGTAGAAATAGGCTCGTGTGAATTTTTTAATATTTACCTGGTTACGATTAAAAAATCCCAAGAGTGAAATTTTCAAATATAGAACTTTAGTTACTTTTCTATCGACCATCTTTCGTTTCTCTCTTTCTTAAATTATTTCTTTCTTTCTTTCTTTCTTAACAAGGTTTGTCTAATTAATAATGTTTTTAAGTTAATATCAATTATGTATGTGTGTACATTTATCATTGTAACGTCAAATGTTATTCATATTAACGAATCACGTCAGTACAAATTACTTATAATTCTTTCTGTGAATTGACTATATTTTTTTCTATTACTAAAAACAAACAAAAATTTCTTTCTTTTATTGTATTCTATCATTTCGTTGTGTGTGTGTTTTTTTTAATTAACCCTTCCCTTATTTTCTACTCATTGTTCAGAATATACACTTTATGATTTATTTCGTTTCCCCTGTCCTCGTTACTTACTCGTTATAAAATAAAAAAGAAAGAAAGTGAATTTTTGCGCTCACCTGTTCGTCGTTGATGAACCACTTGATATGCGCACCAGGATGGGACCTGTCACTTGTGCAATTTAGGGCAAGAACGTCGCCACTAGCGTAAATCTTTTCTTCGCCCGTTATCGTGGGACTTTTTTGGGGTAGTGCTGTAACAAAATTGCAAAGAATTTCCATGAAAGATACGGGTAAGGTTGCGTCAGGATAGAAGACGACAATTTTTGTGCGTTTTATCGAAATAACAAGAGACAGAAAAAATGAGATAGATAAATACAATGATTGTTATGATGAAAATTTTATTTGAAAAAAAAAAAAAATGATGACGATAAAGATTAATAGATAAAAATTAACGATAGTAAATCCTATCTGTTTTATAACCTAATGAGAATCATTTTCAAGATCAATTATCGTTTCGATTAATATCTAAATAACGTAGAGTCCGAATTAATGCCAGAATTATTCCAATTACTAATAATAACACGTTTGGAATGAGAGAAACCATAATTTGTTAGTGTTTATAGAGTATAAAATAGATAATAATATATAGCGAGTAATCTATAAAAGCTATCCATCCATTTTTCGAACAATGAAAAAGGATTATTAGGATTATACGTAGGATTCCAAATGTTACGAGTATATTTTCACGTATGTACATATGTTCATACGTGTATCAAAGTTCGTTAAAACTTGCATTATTTTGTTGTTTTCGATAAAAATTTGTAAATATTAAATATCGAATTTTTCGATTGCAATCTGTTCTAGGTTGATCCAAAGATTCTTTTGATCTCGTGTAACTAAGCATTTTATGCGTATGTATTTCCCATCATCGCGTATGCTCATTTTGAAAACACGAAGGAAATGCTGTCGTTTATTAGACCTTTTATATGCAAAGAAATTTATAAAAGCACGAATGTGTGTACGTCTACATGTGTGTATGCGCATAACGTTAACAAGAAAATTTTAATCGTTCTATACATTTTTATTCAATAATACTTTTTAAATCCATTGTGCATTTAAAATTTTCCTTTTTTAAAGCATTGAATTTTTCGATTAATCACAGAAAAGTAAATAATTATTCCTCGTATTTAATCGGTAATGGTAGATATATAAAAAAAAAAAGAAGAAAAAACAACATAAAAAATAATTTTTCTCTCTATTTCTTTTTAATCTCTCTCTCTCTCTCTCTTTGGTCATTACAAAAGTATATGCAGATTCATTATACGCGATTATACACTATACATATTTATACACGATGTGTATATAAAATTTGCATACTCGTAAGCAGCAATCGACGTATACCGACTAATTATTCTCCAAACGTGTCGCGCACGCGCCTGTTTTGCGATTCTTCGCAGAGAAATTTATTTTCATCATTGCCCACGATTCTCACGCGAAATATAGAAAGAGAGAGAGAGAGAGAGAGAGAGAGAGAGAGATCAATTTTTTAAATCTCATTCAAATAGAAACTTTTATTTTAATATAGAACGATTTAATTAAAAAAAATGTTATCAAGTTTCAACTTTTCGCATATCGTTGAAAGAAAAAAAAAGGACAGAATATTTCAATATTATTAATAATATTAGAGAATTTATAATTAATTACAGAATTAGAGAATTAATAATATTAAAGAATTATTAATAAAATCGAAATTAAGTAGATATTACGATTCTTTGTTTATTAATTGAATGTAAGAAGAAAAAAATTGTTCATATATTATGCCGTTTTTTAAAAGGATCTCTCGTTGGATCGATGCCATTTCATTTTTACGTATTTTCGTATATATTATTTGGATCTTTCAAAAAAATGTTATCATGTATTTATGTTTCATTTTACAGGACACATCGGATCGATATGATTTCATTTTACGTTTCCTTTCGAAGATATTTATTTTCATCATTTCCTACGATTCTTTTGTGAAGTAAAAAGATATACATATTTGTATATACATATATATATATATCTTCTTACAAATCTAATTCGAACAGATTTATTTTTATATAGAGCAGATAATTTAACATAACTTTTTACATATTATTTGTGTAATGAGAAATGTTTCATTAACTCATGTAACATTTCAAATGAAAATACCAATTTAAAAACTCATGATATAACTTGGAACATTTATAAATATGTAATTTGATTCATAAATTGAATAGAAGAATTATATATAATTCGAGAAAACCCCTTTTCTTCTTTTAGATAGAATTAATTTTAAATGAATAATTTCATTCTACTAGTTCATTAAGATTAGTCTACCTATGAATACATTAATATTATCTAAAAATAAAAATGAATTCTTTCATTTTGTACAATTATTTTATATGTTCTTTTCAATCGTGTTTTTTTTTTTAACTAAACCACGTTGAATTTTGAGCTACGCATAAATCATTAAAAGTGTATGATTATTTAATTAAATTTGAATGATTATACACAGGTTGTTCCACCAACAATTAGCGTCACAATATTTCAGTTATTTATTATAATATAGAAAAATGTTACATACAAAAAAATTATATGGCAAGAAAAAGTACATAAAATAGTGTAAACATTTAGGTACTGATAGTTGGATAGTGGACCACCCTGTACATCTCGTTTAGTAATATTGGATTTAATCAAAAATAAAATAATAAAAATTCGAATAAAGATACAGAGGTGTTCCACGATCAATTAGCACTAAAATATTTCAGTTATTTATTATAATATAGAAAAATGTTATATACAAAAAAATTATATGGCAATAAAAGGTACATAAAGTACTGTAAACATTTAGGTATTGATAGTTGGTGTGGACCACCTTATATATATTTTATTTTGAGTTTGAGTATTAGATTTAATCAAAAATACAAAGATTTAGGACAAAAGTTTTCGAAACCGAAGAATATTTTTCTTTTTCTCTCTTTGACGTCATTTAATCTCGTTCGAGTGAAGATAGCAGACGAGATGCATGAGAAAATCGTTGCCGACTTTGGTATAGCGATAAAAGTGCAACCTCCGGATAAGCTTTTAAAGCCGTCGTGACACCTCGCTTAGAATATTCAACGAAGCCATTCGCGACTCGCGGTCGGATTGATCCATTCAGGTTACAACGCGTTTGCTACTTTTCCTAGAATATATATATGTATTCGTTTAAAGCGGCTTAAAGGTAAGCATCGGTAGGTAGCAAAAGGTTTTTTCTCTTACGAAAAAGAATCAAATGTCGTGGATGACGTTGACTACGTTGACGGTAACTATGACGATGACGATGACGATACTTCCTTCGATTTTCGTTGCCAATTAGCTAAGATGCTAATACCTGTTAAATGTCTCACGGAACGGATGGAAGGAAAACAATTTGCAAACGAGACGATAAATCGATTAAGTTCATCTTAAACGATCGACGGAACTGTCAAGTTATTCGCAATTCTTATCACCTGTCCTCCTATAATCGTATTTCACAAATTTCACGAATGTTTTCCAATCGTTTCTTATTAATAAATTATTGTATAATGGTATTTTTGGAATTTTACAAATTTTTTTTTTAGATAATCATATGTGTCGTTTAGATATACTTTATAATATATTTGTTATGATGTTATTCAGTACATTTGTCTTCTAAGTTGTTTATAAATGTGATGCTTCGCGAGAATTCTTTTTAAAAATTACAAATAAAATATTTCAAGACACGTGGATGATCAATGGTGAAAAAAGTTTCACTGATGATATTATTTTTCCTTCAAAGTATATATCGTAGTGTTTTATCATTAAAGAAAAAAAAATGTGCAATTTAGTATCGCGTATGTTTGCGTACGTATGTACGTGTGTGCGAGTTGGTGGATCAGGATAAAAGATCGAGTGTTCTGGAAAGCAAAAAAAGCAATTCGCAGGAAGTTGGCAATTAGATATGAGAGTTTAATAATAGTTTTTTTTTTAATCTTTTAAATTTGCTATTTCTTTCATTCATTTTAACGATCGATCTAAATTTTTTTTTTCTAGTATTGTTCACAATGTCGAATATTTAGAAATGCATTAAGCAAATCGGAAGTTTAAGCGCGTGTAGATTTATTAATATAAACTTTGAGATATATTTTTTTAAACTGATACATTTAATTATAAATATGCGTTTTTTGGATTTGCTTTTAAAAATTGGAAAAATTCAGAATATATAAACCATTTTTTTTTCTACAAATATTTATTTAAGTTATATATATATTTGATATTTAATATATATTATATATATTTGAGTATAAAAAATGTCATTCCTAAATTTTCCCTTTAAAAAATTGAAACTATAGTGATAACTCCATGATAAATTTATAATCGTTTCGTACTAATTATATTTATGTTTTATCATTTAAAATGCATTAAAAAGGTACGTGTAAATATTACTTAAATAATTTTTGAAAAGTAAGAGTATAAAGACCGATTGAGAGAAATTTATGGAGTTAATCGAAGAACAGTGGTAGTAGTACTAGGACGTTGAAAGTAATATTGGGAAATAGGGCAATGTGTAACACAGATCATCGAAAGTGGGTCGTTGAAAGGGTAAAAAAGAAAGTAAAAAAAATAGCTTGCTGACGTGTTATGTGCCTGCGTGTCTGTATGAGTGTTTCTATATGTATAAGTATGTTTCTATGTGTTTCTATGTGTATGTATGTGACACAGTGAAGCGTATAGTCATCGTGAACGAAAACTACGAGGACAGAAGGGCGGGAGGGAGGGGGGAGGGGGCCAACCATACCCGCAGGTAATTTCCTGCGCACGAAATTTTCCACGATGCTGGTAAAGACGTGGTAACTGTGGGTACGTGGCCTATCGATCGTGCACTACGGCTCAAGAAATGCGACCGGAAAAACCTACCCTCGTGAAAACGAGAGATAGTTTAGGAGAGACAGGATTAGTGGAGAAGAAGAGGTAAGAGAAGAGAGAGAGAGAGAGAGAGAGAGAGAGAGAGAGAAAAAAAGTAGATGTTTTTTTTTATTCCTCCACCCCCTTTTCGTCTCCCCTCCGTCCTCCTCCCCGAATATGCACCTCGAGAGGAAAATTCGTACCTTTGCCCTTCGCCAGGCTTTTCTGCTTTTAAAATATGCTTCTATCTTTATCCCTTTTTTTCCTTTTTTTTTTTGTATCTCTTTTCATTTTTGCATCATACACATACCATCTATACAGCTAGCTAGCTACCCATCCTACCACCGCATCTCTCTCTGTATTTGATATAACCACTATACATTTACGAGGCTTATTTTTTTCCGCCGCGTTTTATTTCGATTTAATATTTTGTTTGCTTTTTTTATTCTCTCCGACAAGATTGATATACTTTTAACTATTTTTATTTATTTATTATTATTATTATTATTTTTTGGTTAAAAAAAGATAGAGCACAGCAGGTCCGAATTTTGAATGAGAAAAAAAAATAAAATAAAAGTTGACTTACGATATTAACGACCCGTAATCCAATTTAATCTTTTCGTTTAATTAATTAACATGATAACAAAACAAAACAAAAAATAAAGTAGAAAAAAAATGGACTCGCGAGAAGTTTAAAAACAAAACGAGGGGTTGTGCTCGGCTCGTTTATTATTATATATCGCTTGGAATTATCGTAGAATTATATTTTAAACAAAGTTTATACTTTATTCGCGTTACACGCGAGTTAGAAAAAATATGATCATTTGATTTTGTTTTCTTTCCTCTTTTTTTTAATAGAATTATTAATATAGGCCATCATATTCGTTCGTTCAATTGCATAGTAATAGCGTGCCAAAATCGTATGTCAACTAGCATAAGTGTTAGAACGACGTCATGTCAGTTTAAAGGATAAATTTGATAATAATTCTCGCCTATTCTTAAAAATACGTAAGGTGGAAAAAAGTCTATAACCTGGAAAAAGAGACTGATGTTAATGTACGATATCAGAGAATATCACGCCACGTATGTGAATATGTAGGTCGCGAATACGTCAGGTGCAATATATTACATTGTAACTGTTGCAACGTGGTTTCGTGGTTAAACTGAATCGCGTGTTGTTAATCGTATCTATTGTGAACACGATTTGAAGTCACTTTTACGCTGAGAGTATATAGAAATTTGTTTTCCAACGATATTTTCCTATTATTTTTTTTATTTATTAACATAATTCATTAAATTTTTTCTTTTTCTTTTTTTGACAAGATTTAATATATATTCTACATCGTGATTAAAAAATATTTATCCTTTTAAACACGTAAACCATTCCAAACACTAATTACAAATTCTCTTAAACTGTAATTTAATTATTAATTTTAAGATTATTTTTTTCGTGTAAAATTTGTTTAAAACTTCTAACGTTCATCATCAAAAATTTGAACAGCTTATTAACATAATTAAAATATACTTTGAGAAGATATTTTTATTTTCTAGTAAAACGTGTTGAACTCTTTAACATATTTCAAATAAATTATCAGCAATATTAATTAAATGTTTTCTTGATGCAAGTTAATATAATTTATTTTCAGATATTATTAGTACATGTAATTAAATATATATATATATATATATATATATATATATATATATATATATATATATATATTTTGAAATTTTAAACCTTTTACAACTTGAAATAAACAAGAAGTTAATTGCCAATTAGAAGATAGATTATTGATGAGAATTAATGATATAAGATTATGATAATAATAAGATTAAAAGAGATAAAGGATCTCATTGTATGGCCAACAACGAAAGGTTGCATCAAGGTACTTAATAGAGATTATAGTTATATCTATAACGTTTGCCAACTGTAGTTGAATTATCGGAGAATTCGAGTTTACGATCAAAGCACATTATTAATTATTAAAATAGTAACTTCGAGAGAAGAAAGGTACTCACCTATGACCTCCATATTGGCTTCAGCAATAACCGAATAAAAATTAGGTGCTTCTGCGACAACTTCGCACTTGTATCTGCCACTAGTGTGAAAACCAACATCTTGTAGTTGAACTCGTGTATTGTTAGAGTGTCGGTGCTGTAAAAAGAAAAATGATAATTAACCACGATTACAGTTGACAAATGTCTACAATCTTAACGATATATTCTTAAATGTCATTTTTTGCAGAGAGAGAGAGAGAGAGAGAAAAAAAAAGGAAAAGAAACTCTCTCATTCTAAGAATTGTTAGAAAAATTCAACTTTTTCCTTATTAAAAAAAAATTCATGTAAAAAAAACTTCCTCTCTTACTCGGACGTTTTGATTTCGTAATTTAATGCCATTCGCACGGGGATGAAATCCCACGTGGCACTAGATTTCCGAATTAATTAGTCGTCGTAAATCTAGCAATGCGCGTATAATTATAATTCCAGAGCTAGTAATGCAATCTCATTTTTTTTTTCTTTTTTTCTTTCTTTCTTTCTTTTTTTCTTTCTTTCTTTCTTTCTTTTTTATCTCCCCGAGGTTGAGATTAAAGTATAACCGTCGTACTTTTGAAAAAGTTCATTCGAGAGAGAAAGAGAGAAAATTGTACTAGAATGTTTCTTTCTTTTTCTATATCTCCCTTTCTATCTTTCTCTCTTTCTCTCCCTTTAATCGAAGAGAAACGTTTCCTTCGAAAACAAAATTTCTTTTCTCCCGAGATAATTTCTGGAATACGCGAGATAACGCGCTCGAAGTAGTTCGTTATAGTTCTTACAAGTCTTCTTTTCTCTATTCTATTTTCGAGTAACCAACGTTGAACTCAAATTAAGGGCGTTAAAAATGGTAAGGGTGTTAATTAAATTTCTCGTTTTAAACGTGTATATACACAATGCCCAGCATCCAATCTTCGAGATTTTTTTCTAAAGTTTAATGATTAACACTGCCTTCCCCTTCCCCTGCCCCCTATCCCTTATCTTTACCCAGTTATTATACTTAGAAATATAATGAACTTTAGGCAAATGTCGAATCACTTTTTTTCCATTCTTACAACGTGAAAATGAAGTTCTTATAATCAAGCAGTATGATAAAACGGGTTAATGTGTGCGTGCAGTGAAGATTATTTCATGACCCCATACGAACATGCAGCCAATAAACAACGTCGGAATTTTTAATGCAATCAGAGTCGAAAATTTATTACGTGATTTGAAAGATCAATTACGCTTTCTCGAGATTACACATTTTAACGTATGATTATACGTAAAAATGCAATGTAATTTTCGCAAATGTATTAAAATCACTATTTCATAATTTTTTTCTTTCTCGTTTATCTAGTTTATTTTTTTTCCCCTCTATTTTTATTGATTTATCGTTCTATTCTCATATCGAATTAGCACGATAAACAACTTTGGTATTTTTAAATGCAACCTGAGTCAAAAATTTATCACCATGATTTTCATAATCGATTATTCTTTCTCGAGATTAATATTTTTTTCGTGTTATTAAACGTAGAAATGCAATGAACTTTTTACACATCTAAAATTATAATACCCACTAGGTTATCGTTGGGTTATTACTTTATTTTATAATACTTTTCATATCCCGGGTTAGAATTTTTAAAACTGCCCTGGTTCAACAATTTCTGGATGATATCAAAAAACGATTACTTTCTTTTTATTTTCTTTTTCTAAACTAATATGCTCATACATCGTCGTTTAACGGAATGAAGAAACGTAATGAACTTTTCGCAAATGTAAATTTACATCACCTTACTACCTCTCGCCAAGATTTTCCAGCTTATTACTTAATTTCATTCCCACGCTTCTTCTTCTTATTTTTTTTTTCTTCTTCTTTTACTTTCTTATCGGGTTGGCCAATAAGTAATGTCGGAATTTCTTTTCTTAATTTTTTTTTTTTTTTATTAATACAGGTTTGCGTTGAAACTCTTCAGGTGATTTTAAAAATCAATTATTCTTTTTTTTGTCGAGAGAGACTTTTCGATGATGTAATTTTTGTTCGGATCGTAAGAAACTTTCCGGAACCTTGTAGTTTTTTAATTAAAAAGAAAAGGAAATAAAAGTGAAGGTAGGAAAAAAGGATGGTAGGAACTAACAGGGGAGAAAGAAAAAAAAAACAAATTCGTTTAACAAGTCTCGGAGAATAGAGAAATTGATTTTTAAAATCATCCAGGGACTATTTACTCTTCTAAGTACTTTCAAACAAACCTCTATTAAAAATTCTAATATTACTTATTGGCCGATCTAATACTTATATTTGAGAATGCTTGTAAGTTGATCTCTCTCTCTCTCTCGTTCTCTTTCTCTCTTTTTCTTCCATTCTTTTCTTCTTCCTTTTTTCTTCTTCTTTTCTTTATCTTATTTTTTTGTGAAAAGTATTAGATGGACGATGGATATAAGATGAAAAAGAAAGAACGTGAAAGAGATATATTTTTATAAGTGGAAAGAAGTCTTACGATCGAGTAAATGGATTATCAAGAGTTGCAATTCTATCTTTTACAAAAGTATTCTCTCTTTTTCATACACATCGACACACCCACACACATATGCACAAATGCACTCGCACTCACTTTGTTTTTTTCTCTCTCATGCTTTTACATTTTCTTACTGTTCGATTTTTAGGTCTGCCTTGAAGAGGCATATACGTTTAAAGTACTATTTTCCAAAGAATCAAAGATAGAAAAACTGAAACTGAGATTCGTACTGGGAAATCTTTTCTTTTTCCCTTGTGAACGACAGTATCACAACTGTATCGATCTTTGACCTTAATAACATGAATTTTCAACGGGAAAGCTTTAATCGTGTACCATGTCGTTCGATATTTCTTTAAATATTGAAAAATGTCAAACTGCAACAGGATAGATTTAACTCAATGATGACGAAAACAGTTCGTGCTTATGTGTGTGTACACCCATGAAATTAATTTTTCACATAATTATTTTCTTTTCTTCCAAATAAAATTTATTATAAATTGAAATGTTTTAATTTTAACAAATTTTGTTATATATATACTCAATAAAATATATTATATATATGTATACTAGTATATAGTAATAGTACAAGTAATATGTATACTAAATATATATATATATATATACACGTAATAATGTATACTAAATAATATGTATATTTATTATATTATATAATAATAATATTATTATAATATATATAATTAAAATAATATATTATTTATTAATAATAATATAGATAATATAATATTAATAATAATATATATTATAATAAAATATATATAAATAATATATATAAATATATATATGTAATATCATAATACTATTATAAAATTATTCGATAATTTTTATCGATGTAAAAAAATAAATAAACTATAATTCTTCTTTTTTTTTTTTTTTTAAGAACATTTTGTCAAAATTGATAAAAAAAACTTTTTTATCCAACTATCGTATGGAATGAAACACACAAAGTTCTTTGGATATATCTAATAGGAAAGACTTGAAGATCTTGCGTATACAAGTAAAAAAGTATCTTGGAAACTAGATCAATTTACCGAGTTACTTTTCTCTTTAATAATGCTTCTATCTATAGGTTTTCATTTCTTTATTTTTCATTTGAAAATTTCCTCTCTTATACTCTCTCTCTCTCTCTCTCTCTCTCTCTCTCTCTCTTTCTATCTTTTCCTTCTTTACGTAGCTAACCGTCTGAAAATAATTTTTGGTAACAGACTTGTAATATTATATAACTTTCGTTAGTAAATTAATATAAGCGTTGTAAGCTTTTTGTTACGTTGAAATTAATATTCAAGAAGAGTTTCTATTTACCGTGAAGTATTATAAGTATACGATGATAAGATATCCATCATTATATTTTGCGTTTAATCAAAGGAAAAAGAAACAAATATTTAAAATAATATTACAATAATAAATGTAATCGTATAAATCAGATTGTATTTGAGATACGATCGATTATTATTTTCTTGTAAATACTACTTAAGTAGAATTACTATAGCAATTAACGAAGTTTCTTATGCTTACAATGAGAAAAACTAAGGGGAGTAAGAAATAGTAGAGAAAAAGGGAGGAAATTAGGAAGGAAGGAAGAAAGGAAGGAAAAAGGGATGAAAAATGTGTGGAGCAAGTCACCACTATGGAATCCACTTAATTTCTTGGTACTCCAATAAGTGTCACGGGATAAACCGAGAAGAATAAGATGATGGTATAAAATACGAAAGAAGAAAATAAAACAAAAATTTATATAGTCTTTATCTTTCTATCATTTTACATATACTGAATGTTTCAAATTTCGATTAACCTAATTAAAAATTTTATAACTTATTTTACAATTATTTGAAGAAACCTATTAACAATACAGTAACGTAAAATTAAAGCTAGTCGATTGAAGAATTTTGTATTTCAACCTGAAAAAAACTTACTAGTATTATATTAAATTAATAAAATTAAAATAAAATAAAAAATTAAAACAAATAAATTAATAAAAAAAAAAATTAAAAACCAAAAAGAAATAATTTCTATACTTAATTCAAAATTTTGAAATCTATTCATCCCCAAAAAAAATATTCTCTTATTAATCTTATTAATGAACCAATATCGATCATTTCAATATTTTTGTTATCTTCGAAGTAAAGTAGTGATTTTTATGACATTATGTGTATATACAAAATTAAATAGTATAGATTTGGTATAAGAAAACATTTCTTTATCATTATCGTGAGGGTTGGTTGGTTGCTTACTTGCTTGCTAGGTTTGACCGAGTTTAGATTAATAGTTAAACTTTTTTTCACGATCGAAAGAACACGAAGAGGATTGGGCCGATTCTACTCACGTAATCCTCATTACACGTGGGCCGATCTTAAAGAGCATAGCTTAGACAAGAAAGGAAAAGAAAAGAAAATTTCGCGGAAGTTAGAAAAACGAAGCGGAAACGTACTCGTTATCGAACCAACCAGACTGCACTACTGAATTCCTAATCGAATATATAGACGATTTTTACGATTGGGCCGATTAGATATATATATCTATATATATATATATATATATATAAGATTCTTATTCCATTCTCGATAGCTACCTTCTTCGACAGATCGTTAAAACGTATTCGTTTCATCGCGTCTATTCTGAAAGCCAACGAAAACGAGTTCAAAGTTTCGATTATCGTTTCGTTTATTTGCAACTCGTTCGTTTCATGTATATTTTTTTCTTCTTTATAATATACCGGATATCTTATTTATATTCTCGTATTATGTGGTGTTGATATGTTGTATATGTAAGAAATATAAATTTGTTTTACAAAATTTATATATCATCCTAAATAATTTATTATTAAATTATAATGAATAATTAAAATTTACAAGAATGTGATTTATTTATTGTTTAATTTTCTAGAAATAATTTAAATGATATTTAATTAATAGAAGTGATATGACGTTTGGTATTAGTGATACGTTTAATTACGAATATTATTATAAACATTTTAAAACAAGAAATCAATCATTCATAATTTGTTATCCTTCTGATAATTGTATGATAAATCATTTACAATTCTACGTTTACGTTACACGTATTATTTAATTTTTTTATTTTGAAAAATCTATATAATATATCGAGATACTGTTTGTTATTAGAATACAGATGAAACAACCTGTTTAAATAAATACACGTCGATAAAATTGTTCATTCATTCGTAAGAAAAAAAAGTAGTAATAAAAGTAAAAGGAAATTATGAAACAAAAAACTTGTAACAGCCGTATCTCAAGACGTCAAATAGTATAATAAAGGTATTCTGACTGTGTTGAATATAAAATTGATGATGCCGATGCATGAGCAGCATGTGTATTACGTTTATGTTTTTGCATCGTCCCGATGGAATTCTTTTATAGGTGCTCCGTGGAAAATTGGATAGAAATTGGCTGGTAATCTCAAGCGTGCGAAAAATGCCACTCTCTCGTTCGGTTGATTCTCAAAGAGGAAGATCAAAAGACAAACAAAGAAAAAAAGATAGAAAGTGAAAGAGTGAGATAAATAAAAATTTATTAAATATACACATGAAACTGTTATTTGTTAAATCAATTATACTTTGAAGATTTTTAATTAATATTTAAAAGAAATAATTATAATATATTATCAATATGTTATATAAATGTATTTCGCGCGAGCGCATTGATTAATGTGAAAAAAAAAATGAATGATTATTAATATTATTTATCTTATTTATAATATTTTAGTATTTATTTTGTTTCAATAAATACATTTTAATCGAATCATTAATAAATACTGACTATTTATTTATCAATATTAATTAATTAATATCTATATATTGATAAATTATCGAACAAAATAACGAATAAAAATGTTCGGATAATGTAAAAAAAGAAATAAAAGTATATTATATAATGCACGTACTAAATATATGTATTGATTGAATGACATTCGATAACGAAATATATATTTTCTAATTATTCTCTCGTATTATCGATTCGTTGGAAGTTCATTAGTTCGTTGTGTGATCCAATATACAATGTATAACACATTACTCCCAATACAATTAGGATTTTTGACCGATATCTATCAGAATGCATTTTCATTACTACCATTTTCGCGATATATTCTCAACGTTATTTTCAACGGGCCATTAAAATTTACGTCATATCGCTTTTGCACTAACTCGTTATTAACGTGTCAACTCACGAACGACCAGACACAACAACGTAAATAATAAAAATTATAATAAATATAGCGACTCTCGTGAATACAAATATCTATACCTCGGAATACTCTATTTTAAAAAATAAATTATTATAGAGAAAGACATAACTGCTCTTATGAAGATGAAATAAAATATAATATCTCATTACCATTAGAGTATCTAAAAATTTGAAACAAATGAATAATAATAATTAAAAAAAAACAACAACAAAATATGATAAAATAACTTTAAAGAATCGTATTTAGGATCGTATAGCTTTGATAATATTTATCAAATGTAGCAATATTTGTATTTGATCTTTTTTTTTTTCAAAGCTGACGTATCATAAAGTAATTCAAACAAGGAAGTTCGCGATATACTATTTATTCGATCAGAAGTTATTTTTAAAAATGAAGTAAAATATAAAGACAAATTCTACTCAATCAAATCGATTGTCAAATATTGAAAGTTCAATTATGAATGATCAGAGATAATTATTCTCGTTGTTAATAAATTATACTCGATAACTATAATTATTCGATGAATCATTTTACTTGGTTATTTAATTTTTAAACAATTGCATATCAAATTTTTTTTTGTCCCTTTTTCATCTTAATAATAAATTTCTTTTTTTTTTTTCTATTTCTTAAGAAACTCGATCTTCCTTAAGGAATCACTATGCGCAATCGTGAAACGAAATAGGTCGTTTGTCTTCTACGTGAAAGTCGAAGTCGCAGTATCTCTTCGTCCTTCCAAATGCGAAAGCTGCTACTAGACATGAACTATCTCTCCTCTCTTGTGGAACGAAGCAGAGAGAAAGAAAGAAAAAAAGACTATACCCGTCTTTACAATAATTTAAAGAGTAAATTAGACCTGCTAAATCCTCGTCGAAAGTCGTGGATTTTCTTAAGATCAACATCAATTATCACAAATTCTATTGAATTTTTGTTTTGTCTCATTGTCTATCTTACTTTATTTTTTATAACTTATGAATAATCACATTTGATCATCATAAATATTTCAACATTACTCGAAGAATTTAAATATATTTTGAAAAAAAAATTATAAGTATATTGAGAGGAAACAAAGTTTACTTTGGAAATTTCCTAACTTTTTCCTATAAAAAAGTACCAACGAATTATAATTATATGTATATAAATATATACATAATAAATAAATATATTATAATAATAATAATAAAAAATGTAATAGGTTTATTATAGGTTTAGTCTGAGTCTATTATAGGTTTGTGTTATAGATTTATATAATAATATATATGTAATAAACCTATTACATTAAATTATAATTAATATGTTTATCTCGTAAAATAAAATAAAATAAAATGAAATAAAATAAAATAAAATAAAATAAAATAATTCGTATCCTTTGAAACGATACAATTTATTTTCGTGTTTAACATTATAATTTTATATTAAACAAATCATTTAAATGTTATTTGAGGTCTATGCAAGTTATATGAATCAATGTGTATTGAAAGGATCATTGAAAAAATTGACTTACGTCCACTTTAATACCCTCGACGTGATAACTATGTTGTGTCGGGTCACTCCTGGGTACGTATCTATAGAATTCTTCGTGATCCTTGTACCACGAAAAAGAATAGAGCTTGTCCGATTCTAGATCATAGCTGAAACAATAAAAGAAAGACCATTGTGAGCTATTAAATTCGTCTCGAATGATACCTACTGCGAGCACACACCTGCGCGTATTCACCTTTTATGATAGAGACACTTTATCATACTTTGTAGTATTTTTTTTCAAAAGTTATAAGACATTGCGAATGCGAATAGTTAACGATGAAATATTTTTACTTGGTTATCTATAAAACTATTGCTACGATTTAATTTTATTGCAATATTTGAACTAGTTGTAAGATAAAAGCAAAATTTATATTTTAAGTAGTAGAATAAATAATAAACGAGAATCGTCCTAGTAGTTCAAGTAAAGCATAAATATGATCCATTTTCAGTGATTTAAATAAAAGTCAGTTGAGACAAATTACAGTAGTAAATATCAAAGATCAATCAGTCCAATTCCAACGATCCAATAATACAAAAAAATGAAACTGATATATCCAGTGATTTAACTAAAGCACGAGTCAGGCTTATTTCACGATTCTTAATTAATATTTTTATAAACACGACGATTGTTTGCAGTATTTAACGAACACTAATATTAGAATTATTTTTATTTAAATTACATGGTTAAATTCGTTATTTACAGTAAAAGTAATTTTATATCTTTTGTTTTGCTTGTCAGAGTTATCGGAAGTAATATTGAATAAATAAAAAGAGTTTTTTATTGATTACAAGTTATAGATATTTTTTCAATATTTGATATTCTTATTAATTACTCGATATTTTAAATTAATATTTAGATTAATATTTTAATATCCGCCAACTTGCGTTATTTAACGAGCTAAAATTAGAAATATCCTTTTTTTTTTATACGACCAAACTCGTTATTCGTAGTAGAAGCAATTTTTCCTGCTTGTCGTATGTATGTATGGGTATCAAAAGCAACATTTAAATGAAAAATGAAAAAAAATGTTGTTCAACCACCATTCAGGGTTATTCTTTTAACATTTGATTATTCCAGTTAATGGAACCGATTTTAATGAATATTTTAAAAACACGCCGATTACTTTTGCGTTTTAAAAATCGAATATTAGAAATATTTCTGTTTTACACGATAAAATTTGTTTTCAGCGGTAGAAGCAATTTTTCCTGCCATCGAAAGTAATATCTGAATAAAAAATAAATGTTATTTTTTTTTTTTTCATCGACCATCATTCAGGTATGTTTTTTTTAACGATGCATTTTCGGTAGATACGAAGTTTCTTTTGTAATTGAAATTAATGACGTTACGAACTGTCAAGTTTTATAAGAGTTTATGTCTACAAAAGCGTATCCTTCGACAGTGAAATGCTTTTAAGTTTACTTTGCAATCACTATTGCGTGGTAAATATTAAAAAGTATAGAGAAAAATCAAAGAGAGACCAATTTATCTCACATAAAATTCGATCGCGCCCATCCAAAACAAATATATAATATTTTCATTCTATTATTAAATTATCGATTTCGTTTATTAACTTAAACTAATTGATCATATTAACGAATTCGAAATAAAAAAAGGAATTGTAGAAAATGTTACGAATACGAATGTAACTAACTACGAAATGCTTTTCAATAAATTGCTTAATTGCTTTATCATACACAAACGTTTTTGTTGTTTGCTTATTGGTTCAATTAGATCGGCCAATGATTCTTTGCTTTAGGAAAATACGTATGCAACACATTGGAGAATAACTTTGCTTGCACGATGCCATGATCTTTTTAACTTCTCTTTTTTTGCGTTAAATTTGCAACTATAATCCATAATATTGGTCGCTTATGGATTATACGAATTTACCGATACACGAGTTCGGACAAATATTTTCTTTTCTCCTATTGGTGTTGTACTTCTCTTCCATTCCCTACTTCTTAATGGATTTTTCTTTTATTAAAGATAAAACAAAAAATAATTAAAACCGTACCTAGGAATTATTTTTCATCTTGATCGTTTTTCTTGTTTATTGTTAAATACTATAAGATATCGGGGAAAAAAAAGGAATTATTTATTCAATACGATTTTCTCTTGCGTATTAATCTCAAATCTAGTCGAGTACGATACAAATGTACAAAAAAGATTGTAAATATTAATAATAATAAGAAAAATAAAATAACATTGATCCGGATTGTTTATTTGATTGGACGACGAACGGACAATAGTTTGCGTGACGAGAACTTTGGGGATGGACTTCGTAAGGGGGTGAGTTACAATTACTGTAATTGATCAACATCCGTGATCGAAGCAGACTGACTACTCGTGGGTTCGTCAATTTACTAATCAACTCGGTCTTCCATTAAATACTATACAAAGCAAAGGACTCATGAGATTTTTTTTTATAAAACTCAGTTCTAAGAAAATGGTCTTTCTTTATTTTTCCTTCCTCTTTCTTTTTATTTTCTTCGTACGATTCAACGAATTTTATTTATAAAATGGTCAATTATATTTCGATTCAAAAGATTTGTATATCCGAAGATTATTCTAACATGAAATTTTTTCCTAGTAATTTCAATTAGGCTTAGATGATGAAGGTAAGAATTAATTAAATAAAATATAAATAAAAAGCGTGGTTGAGGAAATATTTACAAGAGAACAATATTGATTTGTTTGGTAAAAAAACCCCTATTTTTTATGTATGTATAAATACAATTAACAGGAGTATGATGAGATTACAGTGTTATTTAAAAGTAAATAGAGATATATATTCGCTCACAATCAAAAATATTCGTCTCGTTTGCTTTTACAAGGAGTCTTCGTATTGCAACACAATAGATGATTCGTTATTTTTTCTAAAGATGTGTCCTCGAGGTCGTCCTGCAAGAAAATGGGACGAAAGTATTCGAAAGCTAAGCCCAATGAGGGGTCTCGTTACACTGAAATTTAAAAGTGGGGGATGCGGACAATGACCGTTTCGTAAAATTCCGGAAGAATTGACGCTCACCTTTTGAATATACATTAAAGAATTTATGATATAGTTTCTTACCATAAAAGATTCTCATTTAACGTTCCTGAATTGCGGGGAAGTGGGAATTTTATTCCTAATTAAAAGATACGGCATTGATAAGATGAGCATATTTATGGTTGTAATACGTTAAAGTTCATAGTAAGAAAAACTTTTTTATATTTTCTAAGAATAACGTTCTCTTGAAAAACATTTGTTTTCTCTTAGGTGTTAATAATGAATAATAGAATTTTTGGATCATATAAAAACACATGTTTACGAGAATCATTCGAGGAAAACTGAATAAATCAATTAATGGTCGGTATGCGATTTGAAATGCAAACTTCGTGAACGATTATCAACATTGGTTGAACCAATAGGACAACCACCGACCAATACTCTAATCGTTCTAATCAAGCTATTAGTCAGGCATCCCTTTCCGCTACCAATCTCGTTTACGGTCTATACATTCGTAAGATCGTTGAGTGCAACAGGCTGCATTTATTGGATCATACATACGATATGCTGAATTATCTCATTAATTAATTAATATTCAAAAGCACGTGGCACTGACAGCTAGACTTGGACTACTACTACTATTATACGATCAGTTCATGCGATGACATATCCGGTTACTTTAATATTCTAAATACTAAATAACGTTACGTGTAAACAAAAATCTACAAGCTTGTTATCAAGAGTTTAACATGTTGGTCTTTGATATTCAATTTCATTGATTTTCTATATCACTTGTTATATAACATTCTATATATATATATAGAAGTAAGTTGAAAGGAAAATTTCCGAAAAATCCCATCGAATCAAGGTTGTCCGATGGATTTACTTTGATCCAAGGAAGACACGCGAGACTGGTTGGTGGTTTCCCTTTGGAGGTTGCTCTTGGTCGAAGGATAAATGGATCAACGGAAACGTTAGTAGAATGGAAGATGGTTAGGGTTGCTGCTCTTGCCTTTGTTCGAGCAACATCGTCGTCGTCGTCGTCGTCGTCGTCTTTGCACGCTCGAGAACTGTAATTTTGTTTCATCGGCCTGGAGAGAACCACTTTGCGAAGGAAGTAGTCCGATTAACGCTCCCTTTTAACCCGATAAACGTAGTTGAATGAACCAACTTTCAAAAAATCAACCATCCTTTTCCTTACCATTCTACACGCGATTCCTAATAAAGCCTCCTTCCTTTCCCATAAACCCACCCACTCATTCACCTCCTACTCTTCTTCTTCCCATCCACTTGTAAGCTCTTTTTCTCTCTTCTCCCCCCGCCCCCACACCCCAATTTCTGCTGCGTTTCGCATAATTGCAAACCCAGTAACCAGCAATGCGCTTAATTTAGATCACGTTTAAGGAGAAATTACCTCTCCGCTATCAGAACTCAGCTTGGGCCCTCCATCTTTACGAGCCTTTCCAATTATCTCGATTCTTCCTAAAGGTAGATGGTAATAAGTTACGGTGAGATGTTCGTAAAACGACTAATTACACGAGTGCAGCCCCATTAAATGACGAATGAACGAACGAACGAACGATATGCATGAAGCTTTCTTTCTTTCTTCCTTCCTTCATTCCTTTCTTTCTCATTCTCACATTGATTATTAGTCATCAGCAACTCGTACGACGATGATTTTTTAATCATCGATGATTACGACATCATCCTAATATCTTTCTTTCAACGAGAAATTAAAAATCATTCGGAAATGAATCCTTTTCTTCCTGTAATGGGATGTATGTATACTCTCGTTCGTTGATCGCTTTGTAATGACTCGGTATTTGAATGTAACATAACTCCCTTCCACAGTTAGAGAAGATCGACCTCTGGCATTGAATCGATCGTTCTTGTACCTACTACACACTCCCTTTCAACGTGGATTCAATGCTCGTTCCTCTTCCAATAGCAATTATGCGACACGCAATGTCCTGTTTAGTGATGATAATTTCCGATAGGCTACATTCATGAGTCATATGCTTGCATGCCAATACTACAACCTATTCTACCCCCCATTCATATTTGAGCTATACGAATTATCCTACTACTTTCTCGATTAGTTTTATTATACTTTCTTACCT